TTTCTCGACGTCGTCTTGTGGAGAATACGCAAGGGTTTCAGGAATTAACCTCGCTGCCGAATATTTGTGGGGCTGTTGATTCGACTCCTGTGAAACTGCATAAGCTAAGTCCTGACGTAATTAATGGTTCTATGTATTATTGTAAGTATGGGTTTCCTTCAATATTGCTGCAGGTTGTTGCCGACAGTAAGAAGGTTTTCTGGGACGTGTGCGTGAAAGCTCCTGGTGGTTATGATGATTCCACACATTTCAGGGATAGCTTGTTGTATAACAGATTGATTTCTGGTGATATTGTGTGGGACAAGGCGATAAATGTTAGAGGGCAGCATGTTAGGCCTTACATAGTGGGAGACTGGTGTTTTCCTCTGCTGTCATTTTTGCTTACACCGTTTAGTTATAACAGGACGGGAAATCCAGGACAAAATGCATTTGATGAGGCATTGATGAAGGGAAGGAAGACTGTGGAGGAGGCCATTGGATTGCTTAAAGGGAGGTGGAAGATCCTGCAGGACTTGAACGTGGGACTCAACCATGCACCACAAACAATTGTTGCGTGTTGTGTGTTGCATAATCTGTGCCAGATCGCAAGGGAGCCTGAACCAGAGCTTTGGAAGGAGCCTGAAGAGAATGGGCAACCTCCTAAGGTGCTGGAGAATGAGAAATCCTTTCATTATTATGGGGAGAGTTTGAGGCAAGCCCTGGCTGATGATCTATACCTACGGCTTTCATCAAGATGAGCAAACGAACAGGGAGAGATTTACTCACTTTTTTTTACCAAATGTAAGAATAGCTTTGCTTTGCAATTATGATTTGCACCAGATGATCATTAACTTATATCTTGTTGGCTGTGAAGTTTCTACAATATCTCCTCTGGTTAACAGGAAAGTTATATGAGATACTGGAACTCGAAACCGATATTAAATGGGCTTGAATCCGAAGAAGTATTTATGCTTGTCCATTATTTTTCTTAAGCTGGCAGTTATGGTTATGTTTAATGTTGAAATTTGTTGTGGTAGTCCTCTGTTGGTAAATTATAAGGAAAAATGTGCATAAGAAAATATGTCTGGCCATAGTAGAACGGATAAATAATTAGCGAAACGGAAGAATGCAAAATATCTTTCCTACTAAGAATGATTGGAGGAATAAACACCTTTGAACTCTTTGTTTGTAAAAAGGATAAGACACTGAAAACTTAGTATTATCTTGTAACATAGAAATTTCTTGCTATTTTCCTTCAAAAACCATTTGGTTTCTCTCCGTCCAAATTAACCAAATGATCCAGAACCATCACTTTCCGTATAACCATGCCATCTTGCCCTCGCCAAATTCTTCCAAGTTTGCCTGTCTCCTAACCACCTCTACTTTCATTTCTTGTTACCAAATCCCGAGGTAACAAAAGATTTTGTAAAGACCCCTCTTGGCTATGTTTCCACAAAAAGTTCCTCATAATTTTCTCCAGTACCATAAACAAACTTACTTGGCAAGCATCTTAAATAATGACTTGTAATAGATGGGTATACTTGACAAAAACCAATTGGATTGGAATTATCATTTTTCATTTGAGAATAATGATTTCTTCCATTCACCAACCTTTTGACAACTTTCTCTACTCTCGGAAACCAAAACACTGTCAGCAATTTCAACTTCTCTGCTAAACAGACCCTTGGAGTCAACACAACTAGAATTGATGTCAACTGCTTGTGGAACATAGCTTGATTTGTTTATGTATGAATGTAAGACTAATACTTGCACCTTCTCTGAAATAATTTCTTTCTATTTTTCCTTGTAAAAATATTCTGTTGAACTTCCTTTGTCTAGGAAATTTCTGCTGTTGATAAATGAAGGCCTACTCATGTACCTGGCTGCTGCAGTAGTTGAATGGCTATCTTAAATTTGCACATTGTGGAAGTATTATCCAATAACTGTTCATCATTTAGGAAAAGCATTTGCAATTGCTCCAAGCCTTTACATTTCTTAAAACCATTTGCAAGACAAGTGTATATTTTACAGCTGAAGAATTACTTATCAACTGAACTTAAGTGAATGTCAAGGCAAGACAAACATCATAACACAATAGGTTAAGGAAAACCATGTCCCAGTCGCAATTAGATTTTAGTTACCTGATATTTTGCTAATTAACTTCCGACGACATTAATAGCAAGGAGAACATTTTCATGCTATTGTTTCGTTTTACGGTGTCTACCACGACTTTCATTTACTTCATTGTTATAGAGCATTAAGCCACTTGTGCACATAGATGGTCACATTATGATTTTTGTTATTAAGAATTTAGATCAGGTTTGTCGTTGGACTTCAGATAGGGATGTGAATATACTGGCTATCTATCTTCTAGCTGGAATCTTCATACAAGAACTTGACTCATATGCTGTAATCAGATTTGTCTTTACAAAATTTGAATTTCTACCCTTCCTGACATTTGAAAAACTGGCTTGTGTAATCTGAGAAAATTTTAGTTTCCTGGATGGGACAAGAATACGCTGCTTGTCCGTTAGGAACTGTGGATAACTTGGACTAAGACACGTTTCCCCATCAGTTGAAGTGCCTGGAATGAAGCACGGTATTTGCTACGGTACATGCTTTGTTAGGTGTGTTTGTTACTTTAGACTGAACATTGTCTAACGTCTCATATCTTGTACTGTCTAGTGACCAATTAAAAGATTCTGATGCCTTGATTAACTCTGTTACTGTTTACTTTAGTTACCATTCCCTCACTAGGGTAGATGAGGGTTATATTTTGAACAAAAATGCTAGTCAACCAGGTTTAAAACACAGGCTTGGAAATAGGGATTTGAATTTTGCTGAGCTGGCACTTAAGGTTCAATGAAAAAAATAAAAAACATGTTAAACTAAACAAAAGGGACAAAACCACAGAACCGGGAAAGCAAAAGGAAAAAGCATTTCGTTCCAAACCCCCCCCTCTTGCTGTCATGCCTTTGCCGACCCGAGCACCAATACATTGGATTTTGCGCAGTGTCTGGCACAAATATCAGCACATACTATATAGATTTAGTCCTACATTGCTTGGAATTCAAGAAACTTTTCCCAGAAGTATGCATAAAAACATTATACAAAGTGCATTTCTATTGTTAAAGTTCATCGTGTTCAAATGCAATCCATCCCAGTCCTCTCAAATTAAAACCTACCCATGCTGCATGAATTTGGAAGATTGGAACCATGCAAGTTGAGGGAGGTCATGATCAACTGGCATTCATAATCTATGACAGGCAGCAACAACAGATATCCAACTCTAAATCAATCCGGTATTACTTAGAAATCTCACGAACCTGATCATTAACATCGTGGATTTTCCATAACATTTGTGTTGCATAATTTAAAAACAAATTTCAACAATTCTATCATTTCAACAGGCTTGGAGATTTTTGGAGCGGTGGCACCAGCATATTAACGCACAATTAACTCCTTCAAAGAAAGGGTGTTGCTTAATCTCAATTGAGCCTCTTTTATAAGCCAACCTGTGCTGTGGTTCTTTCACTAGCAAACCCCTGATCAAATCCCTGAAGATGAAATTGACAATGGGTGCTCCGGTGGATGAAGGCGTGGCGGCAGGAGGGAGGGTTTGGAACGAAATGCTTTTTCCTTTTGCTTTTCCCGGTTCTTATGAAATATATGATTTCAATGAGGGGTGAATACGATTCGATTTGAAAAGTTTGTTAACTTTTTTCAAATCAAATAATTTTAAATGGTTTAAATTTTTTCAAATCAAATCATTTCATGTTTCAAAAGATTTTTTTTTTTTAATTTTTTTTTGGGTTTGATTTGGTTTCAAACTATGTTTTTAATGACTTAAAAGAGTTTTTTAACCAGTAAATAACTAAATATATTTGCGTGAAATGTGAAATTTCAACGTAAAACTCAAATTGAAACTTTTTAGACATGAAAAATATAATACAAATATATTTGTCTAGATGCAAACTTTAACCAATAAATCAATATAAGGTTTAGTCATAAAATTTGATCTTGTAAATACATTTTTATTGAAATAAAAAGATATTATCTTAAATTATTGTTTTCCAAAAAAGTCAACAGAATCCTTGTAAATTATTAATTTTTTTGATGTATAAATTGATTTAATGAATAATATATTTTGACTAAAATAAGTAAGGGTCATGCTATTTGAATAACGTCACCTCCGCCTTGTTCAAATAGAGGTGGAAGGGGTCGTGGTGCCCCTGTTTGAACATAGCCGAGGTGACCCTTCCGAGGAGAATAATCCAATAAGTAATATAAGTTCAAAATCAAATTAAACTTTTTTCAAATGATTTGGTTCAACTTAAAACAGTTGAAATCTAACTATTTGAATATTCGTCAAGAATTAAAATAATTAACATGCTTGATTTGAAAAATATAATTTAAGAAGATAAAAATAAATTCCAAAAAGATGCTATGTTAACGGATATTATGCCTTGCATCCCATTAAAATACTTCGCCATAGGTGCGTGCGGTCGTCAAATTCTAGAATCGGAAAACGGTGGCAGTTTTGAGTGGAGATTGGAGTTTGCGGTGGTGATCTTGGTTGCGTGATGGCGGTGGTAGCCGGACCACCGATAGCTTTGGGATCTCCGCTCACCTCCAATTATTCACTGACAAAACTACGGTCAAAGCAGTCAGTGGAATTTCTCTTTTTTGCATGAAGTCACGTCTGTTATATTCGAAAACCTTTTTGACTCGCTGAAGATTTATTTCTTGATTATTTTGGCCAAAATTTTTTAAATAGTATTCCAAATTTAAAAAAAAAAAATTGCAAATTTTTGGAAATTAAGCCAACTTAACACGAAATTTCCAAACAAAATTAATGTAAATTACTCCCCAAAAATAATAGAGAAGTTAATCCCATTTCGCAAGAGGAGAATATGGTGTACGAATCCAAAAAAAAAAAAAAAACGAGATTGCTTAATAGAATGAACAACTCGATCACTTCAAAAGTAGAGACTGAGCTCTTTCACGTTCAATTGATGATTTCAGTTTTGCAAATTACTTTGTTGTTCCGGGACTTTATCTTCTTCAAGTGTTTGTGTTTCATCTTGGGGCACCACCGCCGGGGCAGCTTCGCCGGATGAGCTGCTGACACTGTCCTCCACCACCAAGGGTGGAGGCGGGGGCGGAAAAACCTGACCATCAATGCAAGAAGCGCATTTAGCTTCAGCCCATTCTTCAAAATCGTACCGGCCACGACCCATTATTCTCCGACCGGAACAAAGCCTGCCAATCATCACAGCAATTGCACCAAGTATTGCTACCACTGCGAGAACCCCAATAACAGGTCCAACCGACCCATGATCCGAATGACCTGTGGAGGCCTGTTGGGCTGCCACCACCATCGGCGGTGGCTGCTGTTGCTGCAAAGGGTCTAATAAGGGTGTATCAGAAGTAGACATTTCAGTTGTGGCAACAAATATTTCTGTTTCTACTGGTTTTTGGATCTTGGTTTAAGATGATATTCTAGGTTTTTTGCCTTTTGTTGTACTGAAACATAGCCGAAGTATGGGTGAAAAAGGATCAGAGAAGGGAATTTATGAAAAAAAAAAATTGAAGTGTAGAGAGTAGTTTTGTTCTTGAGGAGGCAAAAATGTTAATATTAAAAAGAATTCACAACTTTTCAAAAAATACATTATATCAAAAATTTAATTTTTATTTAAGAATAATGCTTTTAAAAAAAAAACAAAAAATAATATTTCTTTCCATTTTTGGTGATAGGTTCGCTTCATCAATTTCTTATTACAAGGAGATGATCATCAAAATTATAAGATAGATTTCAAGGTCTTGAACTTTATTGGATGAGAAAAAATATAAAATAACCACAAAAAATTAAAGCGTTGCTTTTATTCTTTTGATCTCTCTAGTAGTAGTTTTTTTTTTTTTTTTTTTTTTTTTTTTTTTCACCA